ATGAGTAGAATCCCATTTATAATGTGGAATAATATCTAGCAATAAAAAAGAAATGGACAGCTGACACACATCAGTATGCATGAATCTCAAAAAACGTGCTGAAAGAAGCTGGAAATGAAGGACTATATACTACACGATTCCATTTATATGATGTTCTAAAACAGGCAAAACAAATTTACATTGCTAGAAATCAGATTAGTGTTTGCCTGGGGAGGGGAGTGGGGACCAGTGTTAACTGCAAAGAGGCACACGAAAACTTCCTGCTATGAAGGAAACGTTCTAAATACTAATATGGGTGCTAATTATATGCATACATTTGTCAAAGCTCATTATACTGTGCACTTAAAATGTGTGCATTTTGTTGTTTATAAATTAGACCTCAATACAGTTGTTTAAAAAAATGAGAAGAGAGAAAATAGCGACACAGACAGCTCTTCTGGAGTGGTCTCAATGCAAAGGGAAAGCTTGAAATGTGACAACAGCAGGAAGGAGTTGAAAGGTTTTTTTTTAACACAGGAGAAGCAATAGCCTATCTGTAGGTTGATCACAGAGCAGTAGAGAGAAAACCTGAGGACACAGGGGAGACAAAAAGCAGTGTCTGAACAACTGAGGGAGTGGGGTGGGGGACACGGAGAGAGGGGCCGCCCTGGGCCAGAAGTTGCAGAAGTTCTCTGGGGGGAAGGCAGTACATGGGAAGAGATCAAGGTTGGTTGGGGAGTGCGGTGTGGAAGCCGGTGGAACTTCTCCTCAGATAGGCTCTATTTTCTTGGTAAAATAGGAAACAAGGACTTCTGCTCAAAGAATGAGGGAGGAGGTTCTGGAGGTTGGAAGAGAGAAGGTAGAAAGTAGCCACTGAGAAGAGTAGGAGATAAATGGACCAGGGAAATAAGGAATGACTTCTGGACACTTGAGATTAGTGGTCACGGACTTAAGCCTAAAGCAGTCAGCCCTGGTGAGTGTTTTCCTCCAGCCACGCTGAGCTGCACAGGTGCAGTCATGGATCTGGATTTGAAACTGGATTGTGATTTAGCCATGCGTACAGAAAAGTGAAAGAGAGGCAAGGAAGCTGCAGCTACATGAAAGGGAGTGTTCATAACGATGGACTGTGGGTTTTAAGCTGGGCAAGTCGGGCGGTGTAAACACGAAGAGGTGAGAGACAGTGACCATGTGGTATGTGTCAGTGGACTTTGGCCATGATGGAGCTGAAGGATTGCTGACTGAATGGGGATACTAGAAAGTGAGCTGAAAAGGTAGGTAGTCACAATGATACTTAATATTGAGATGTAAGCAGGAACTTGAGTTCGGGGTTCTGGTGAGTTCTAGAGGATGACCACAGGAGGGGCTGAGATAAGGGGGAGAGCAAGATCACTGGATGAGGTCACTGAGCCGGAAGGTCAGGGTATGAAGGATCATCCACATGAGACACTCGACTCACTGGTGAAGCAGGAGCACTGTGGGGCAGTGAGTTAGGAGTCAAAATCTTCAAGGAATGAGGGGGTGGGGAGATGAGGAGGTAGGATGAGAGGGAAGGTGGTTTTTAAAAGCTCACCGAAGTTACATAACATTACAGAAAGTACACCTATTAGAGGAAAAAGTCACTCAATCCAATCACCCCAACAAATTAATTTTTGTCTCTTCTTTCAATATCCTAGCAAATGTGGGCTTTATCTTGTAAATAGTGTACCTCCAGTTATCTTGCTTCTTTTAGCTAACATTTTCATAAGAGCTTTTCTATGTTGCCATGAGAACTTCATGATTTTTACTGAATGTATTATATTCCATAAAGTGAATAGAATTTAAATTTCAGCCTCTTTTACTATTTGTTAGACTATCTTCTGTCTTTGTTAGACTGTCAATTACCTTCATTTTAAATAACCCAGTGACAGACAATTTATGTATATATATTTAGCTATAGTCTAGGTGTAAATGAATGCTTACTGCACCACATT